CGCGTCTGCCGGGACAGTCATTTCCTACCCAAAATTATGCAAATTGAGCCAGAATGAACTGTGGGCTATTGATGGCCTTATTTTCGACTATTTTAAACCACGAATATCTTTTTGGACGTCAACTTCAAAATCAAGAAGTCCCCTCCAGAGCCCGTCTACCGGAACATCCATTTTCAACCCAAAATTATGCAAATTGAGTTTGAATCGGCATAGTTTATCTACTATTATACTCTAAAGTTTTTTTATCAAAATTAGAATGCCCTCGGAGCAATTAAAATATTTTAAAAAAATTATCCAAAAAAACTTGATCAATTATTGCTATTTGGAACATCGGTAATAAATGTAAACATTTTTAACTTACAGTGTATTGTACAAAATTCAATTCTAAAACTAATTTTTCTTTTCAATATTCTTCCAAAATGCGTAGGATTCAAGATATAAGTAAAAAACTCAAATAAAATAGGTATTTTTTAAAATTTTTTAAACATTTTTGCAATTTTGAAAATGTTCCGGACCTCGCCCAGAGCTAGGGATCTACACTTTTATTATGTAAGTTTTACTGAAGGTATTCCACCTAAAATTAGCTCATCCCATATTACCATATTGCTACCAAATGGAATAATTTAATAATTTTTATATATTTCATTAATTGTAATTACATTTATACAGATATAAACAGATTTAACCAAGTCATAATTTTTTTTATTTTTAAAAAAAATGTAAGCAAATGGTATTCTCACGATCCTGTTTTAAAATCTAGCCGTTATTACTTATGTATATGAATTCAGAAATATCAAATTTTGTTGCCTTTATTTAGAATTATCAGAAACCTTTATTTGAGGAAATTTTAACAAACATGATTTATTTTTGAATATGTGACATAATATTTGACCATTGACCATAATGAATTTGTAAACAACTCGGTAATAAAGAAAAGTCCGTATAAGGTCATAAGAATAATATACAAGTGCCTAAGAAAAGGTGCCTCTTCCCTAACCAAGTGTGGTGAGATTCTGATTGATAATGTTAGCAATCAGTTTACCATAAATGCAATAAAACAATATTTATAAGCTTCGTTGTTATTAAAACTTGTCTCAAAACAGGGACAGATATTTTTTTACATAATTTCTTGCATTGTAATATCAAACAATTTTGTTTGATTAAAATCGTTGTGTCTCTAATTACGAAAAGTCTTAAAAACCGTTATTTTTTAAAAAGGCAATTTTCTTAGAAAACCAACGAAAGTCAAACAAAAATTTTAATTATAGAAATCGCAAAACAATGTTGCATTTAATTCAGTCACGAACCACTGAATTGAATATTAGGTATATTTCATCCCTTAGAATTCAATCCACATCAACAAACAGCAACATAATTTCTTCAGGTATTCATTATTTACACGAAATCACTATCGACGATTTACTGTCTACATGTTCATCTTTCATTCAAGACGATCATTCTAAGTGACCAGCGTAACATCACTCTAAATTTTGGCTATACGACAGATGCGTTTGATCGACCTAATCCTGATAACATAAAAATATTTCTACTCAGTACACTAAGTAACCGCAAACGGTGAGCATTTAAAAAAAATGGGAGAGACTGGTAAGTACACGAACCGTATTATTACATAAGTATCTATCTGCACATTAATGTTTGCATTTAAAGTTAATTGAAGTAACATATTTCTGAAAAATTAAATCAATTTCTCTGCATATAAGTATTCCTGAAATTAGCTTGTTATTGTTTTAAATAAAGGGAGAAATAATAATTGCAAAAAGTAATGAGAACATTTGGTGTTATTAAAATGTTGTACCCAAAAACGATGAAAATATTCGATGCGTATTCCAATTTTGTGAAAATATGCATACGGTATTCAATATTTCTAACATTTAAAAAGTTGGTTCGAATCAATTGAATTTACTAATAAAACATTTTGTTTTTTTTTCGGGTCCGGGATATGCAAGTCCTTTGGATGCCATGAAGGGCCCTAGGGAAGAAATTTTGTATGTGATTTGCGTACAACCCAGTCAAGGCAACGGCAAAACCGATCTTTTAGCGACTGTCGACGTTAATCCAGAATCGCCAACATATTGTCAAGTTAGTGGATGTATTAGATAATTCAAGTCTTATTAGCAATGCAGGAATGTTCATACCAAAAATAAATTTGGTGGTATCATTCTTATGAATAATTGAAAATGCGTATCGGAGACTTTAATGTTTAATTTATTTAACATATTCAGTAACAAAAAATAGTCGATAAGTGTTTTGAATTTTTAGTTAGATATTAAACAGATATTTGGTTTTATTAAAACAACTTTACAGCAAATGAATTATAACATAAAACACACAGATACTGAAATCAATCATATATACCTAATGGGTTGCCTAAAGTATGTGACTTAAAATACTGATATTTTGTTTATTTTTAGATAATTCATCGATTGAGAACTGGAAACGAAAATGATGAATTGCACCACAGTGGGTGGAACGTTTGTTCTAGCTGCTATGTACCCAAAGGATGCTGCAATGCACAGAAAAGGGACAAACTTGTTCTGCCAGCTTTTGGATCTGACAGGATTTACATTATAGACACTGGGAAAAATCCTAAGGCGCCTGAAATGCATAAGGTACATTGTCGATCTAAACTTTTCGTATATAATTCATTTAATTCAATTTAAAGCCTTTTTTGATGGCTCAAAAGTACTACACGCTTTTTTATGTTCTCTTTTATTGCAGAAATATTAGTTTAAAAATAAATCTGGCATATATGTATAAAATATGTTTTAGGATAATAACAGTAATTTAGACAAAATAAACTGACCTCCACCTCAATATATTTTTTAATTGTGAAATTTTATAAACAATTCTTTTAACATAATATTGTAGTACAATATTATGTACTACAATATTTTGCAGCTGCTGTACGTGACTTTTTGAATCAACATTTTCCTGAACACTGGATTGGTAAAAGGGGTTTCATCGAATGGCCCCCAAGATTGCCTGATTTAACACCATTGGACGTTTACTTATGGGGTCATTTAAAAAGTGTTATTTATAAAACAAAACCTACCTCTTCGCCACCGAATAGTGGCAGCATGTGATGAAATAACCCCTGAAATGCAACAAAATGTTCGGGAAAATGTTGAACAAAGGTTTTATTACTGTATGGAAATAAATGGGTCGCAATTTAAACACTTAATTAATTAAAAATTTTTGAAAACTTTTTTTTTCGATATTTCAAGGTGATAGATTCATCAGAATTGGTGAATCTGGATTGTCGTACTCCTCATACGACTCACTGCCTAGCAAGTGGCGAAATAATGATTTCTGTCATGGGAGACAATGAAGGAAATGGCAAGAGTGACTTCATTTTGATAGATGGAAAAACGTATAAAACAAAAGGTAATACTTATTTCTTAAAGATCTGCTTAAATTAGCTGACATCATATTTATCAAGTAGGTATTTGTATTCATACAAGTGATAATTTGAAAATATACATATGAAGAAAGCATACCAAATAACAGCTTCGATTAATATTTTATCTTTGACAGTATTTAATGATTTTCTCGTCATTTCATAAGGAAAGGTAGTAAAGGTGAAGATGCATAAAGAGCGATACAAATTTTCTCAATTTTCGTTTGGAACAATTCTAGATATTGAAATGATAAAATACTAATCTACAATTTGTAAAAGGAACATGGGTTAAGGGAAAATCGCCCAAATTCAACTATGACTTTTGGTACCAACCTTACTTTGACGTTATGATATCGTCGGAATTTGGTGCTCCAAAAATTTTCAAAACTGGCTTCAAGCCTGAACACACGAAAGATCCCGACGCTTATGGAAGAAACTTAAACTTTTTCTCATGGAGTAAACGGGAACTCATCCAAACTATTGACCTGGGGGAAGATGGGCTGACACCTTTAGAGGTTCGCTTTCTACATAATCCCAAGGAGAGTCAAGGATTTATAGGATGTGGAATAAATTCAAACGTATTTAGGTAAATATTACCGCATATTTAGTGATTTGGAAGAGTTGATTTACAAATATTCCCAAAAAAATTGTTCATAGCTACTATAAGTTTAGTGGTAAAAGTAAAATAGAGTTGAATTTTACAGATCCAATTTTAACAATAACAGTTCTGTCGTTCTGTTTTTTCCTTGCGATGTTTCTGAGGTTAAAAATGATTTTAAAAAATCGTGTCTTGTTTTCCGTCTACATTTTCTTTCAACTGCTTCCATTTTTTTGCTTTTCTTTGTTCCACATAACTTTTCTATATCACAATATATTCTCCACATCTATGAATCTTGGATCATGTTCCAAATGACCTTTGTGCTTCAGTTTTTACCAACATTTCTAGGTTTTATATGAAACCTGACGGTAGTTGGGCAGCAGACAAAGTCATTAGCATTCCACTGAAGAAAGTATCTGGCTGGATTGAAGATTACATACAAGGTAAATATTAGTTTATACTGTAACGAAAATAATAATTTACTTATTGATTTAGGATTGATAACTGATATTATTCTGTCCTTGGACGACAAATATCTTTATTTGTCAAATTGGCTACATGGGGATGTAAGACAATACGATATCAGAGACCGAGCTCATCCAAAACTTACAGGTACCTAAATCAAAACCGTGTTTTCTAACTCTAAGCAAAATTAACTCAGTTGCAATAGATAAAGATATTCTGGATGTTAATGTTCTATAATATGCATTTTTATGTTAAATAGTATACAATAAGCCATATTATGCACAATGACCGACGGAGAAATGATTAGTTCTACCATTGAAGTCATGAATGATGAATATTGAAGACGTTTTACAGACGACTATGCATTAAAAATGTTATTTATGTGTTATTCTGCAAAGGGGGTAATGTGAAATTAGTGTAAACCCTACACTAAAAAAAATTAATGTGAAATATGTTTCATTTGAAACTTTTGTTGTCAAAGGAATGAAAGATGAACAAGTTGAAAAATAATTTGTCATAAGACAGAAGATGAATAAAATAAAGGAAGAAGAAAATTCATGATGTCTGTTTTAATATATGTATACCCTTTGTCAGAAAAAATATTTCTAGTTTCTAAAATTAATTAAATATACATATAATGTTGCTTATACTTTTCATGGATCATTTTGGTTTAAGTAAAAGTGAATATTAAATTTTCATTGTTACTATTTGCCATTTTGTGGTGGTTGCTTAAAAGATTCTAGCAAAAATTGAAATTTTAGGACAGGTTTTCCTCGGAGGAAAAATCTTGAGCGATTCCAACATAAAAATTTTAGAGGACCAAGAACTCACTGAACCTCCAAAACCTGTCTATATAAAGGGAAAGAGGTACTATGGAGCACCCCAGATGCTTCAGCTGTCTCTAGACGGCAAGAGACTCTATGTCACTAATAGCATATTTTCTCCTTGGGATAAACAGTTCTACCCCGAGATGGTGCAAAACGGTGGAAGTCTTGTAAAATTAGACATCGACACGGAAAATGGCGGTATGATGCTCGATGAGAATTTCTTGATAGATTTTGGAAAAGGACCGGATGGCCCTCTGCTACCCCATGAAATGAGGTAAAAATTGATAATAACAAATGTTACAGGAATCTAATAAATTCGTTAAATATTTATTTTATGATTAGTATTAGTAAGTTTTAATTTTTTTAGGTATCCTGGTGGAGACTGTACATCCGATATTTGGTTAGCAGAAGAATAAAGTCATATTATTAAAACATATACCTATGGGGTTATGGCTAATTTTTCATACCATACAATAGCAATTAACAATTTTTTACAGTAGGATATTAATAAAAATGTATTAAGTAATGCAATGTAAGCCCTCAAATCTATTTTTATTATAAATTTATTTATATTTTTTATAAAAATTGCTTTTTAAAGGACGTCCATAACAGCATTATTATTACGATAAGAGGTGTATTCTAAATATAGATGTTTTAACGAGATAAAATAAATAAATATTTAAAATATGATAGATAACTTTTTAATCAATAGTAAACAGAAGTTCTTTCTTCATAAAACTTACTGCTTAAATGAAATTTTTATCACTTCATTGGCCAAGGTTTTTAACTAATGATATCGTGTGAAACAACTAATCTGCGTACTACATATTCCGTCCTCTAACTTTGTACACTTCATTTCTGAACCAGCCCCATAAACAATAATCTAGTATTGTTAGGTCTCGAGATCTTCAAGATCTTGAACTTTTTAATTTTAAATCAAGACATGTTAAAAAACAAATGAATGATGTAGTCCTGAGACCTCTACAAGCAATACTCCATACTAAAAGCCACTGCTCAGTCAATACCCCAACCGTCAGTCGCAGTGCCCTACTCATAGCCGTGGCTTTTAGCGCCAACAACGACTAGCTTTGGAAAACTAGCGGCAAGCATGTCGGATGATGGTGGGCAAAATTTGAAACAGCCGCTGTCAGTTGATCGAAGATGCTGGTGTGGTGAGGTGCTAGTTTGTTAGTAAGTTTTGTATTAACTGACCTTTATTGTGACCTCCTCTATTTAGTAAACACTACACGGTGAGGATTTGTTTATCTAGTGAAAGTGGACTTTTTCGTTTTATTTTGTCCTGTGCTTTTACTGAAAAGGTTAGTGGATTAAATCAATTTTTAATCAAATCTGGATTACCAGCTGATTGATGGAGAAGGTTTGTTTTCAGTATGTAAGGGTTCTGGACATCATCAGCAGTGATACTGTCTAGGAATAGTTAATAGTATTGTATATTCTATATCACCATTTTTATAAAGTGACCTGGAAACCTATTATCAAATTAATTATCATAATCTTCGTTCGAAGATCATGAATAACATCCATATTTTCTAATAAAATACACAATATTTAATGAAAATAATGAAGGGGATATACCTAATATTATTTGTCGGGAAAAGTTTCAAGCGTCAACATCAAATTTGTGTTATCATCAGCAATTCTTTAGAATAACAGATAAGTTAGTGATTTAATTAATTTAAATCAGTTTAATTCCAAAAAAGATTAATTAAATTTTTAACATTTATCAATAACTTTATCACGTAATTGAACTAAGTTTTTCTAAGTGTTAGAGTTAATGGATTGCAATCAATTTGAATTCGATGAACGGTATAGCATATATATTTTATGATAACGTTATCATATTAGGTATTAGACAAAACTGATGGAAAATTTCTCTACTTCAAACATTATTAAAATAAGTATGAAATCACTCATTGAACAAATTGCAATTGAGCAATACCCTGGTGAATATGCCAGGCGTTCGCATAATAAAATTAAACCCTTTGTAATAATAGAGCCTCAGACAGCACACACACAAGGGTCCTATACAAAGCCCCAAGGATTTCTGCTCGGATTCTAACTAAGATGTATTTACAGACTGAATCCTAAATCAATTGTCTGTCTGATTGAAGTCGACTCCTCTCTTTTCTCGATCTCTCTCTCTGTCCTCAAAATTTGTCCCGCTGCTCTTAGCAACAGTAGCGAAATTTTATTTTGCGCAGTCTGAGCCCACGCATCATATTTTAGAGCAATCAGCACAGTGCGAAAGTAAATATAAGAAGATTGATGAAATGTGGATAATGCACTGAGAGTTTCCGCTTGCTTTGACCCAGTAACTACCTCGGATACAGGTACATTCCTCAACTCACGTTTTGGACCCAAACAGTGAAAGCTCAAGCCAAACCTGTTTTGGGATTTCAAACTTCAGTGGAACCCTAGGATCCTCTTGTTGATTGACATTCAAAATAAAAATACTATCCACAGCCTATATGCAAATCTTTCAGTATGGTAATTGGTAATACTAATCTGAAGAGCAATAAAGCAAGGAAAAACAAGGTAAACTGTCTTAAATGTTGTTCTATTGAAATAAACCAAAAGTACCAAAACCTGATCTCCATTTGAATAAATTGTGTGTAGTCAGAACTTATTAAATTAACTAAACGATTGGAGGAAGAAAGTTATCTCTTTGGAACACCTTCCTAAAAAAATTTAATGTAAATGTAATGTAATGAAATTCATTCAAAATAATATTGAAGTCATTTAGTTTTAGAGAAACTTCGATAGTAGGTATATATAGAGTTGCTTATATTTTGTGTTTAAGTCGTTAGTAAATTTATAAAATTTATGGAAATAAATTTATAAATGGATCCTAAGACTATGCAAGCAAGTCAAATTATACCTAATTATACATATATTCTGTCATCTATCATTTTATTTTCTTCTATTAATGCTAACTAATTTAATCATCTTCTCAATCAACTCTTTTAGTCTTACTTTAACCTAACTTTTAAAATATATTAGTTTCTATTTAAAAAAAACTCGCTGAATGATATGATAACTAAGTTCTAATTGAAAACAAATTCATTACATTGAATTGTCTAACAAATAATTATTTGCAAGTAAATGTTATTTATTCTTCGCACCTTTCAAATATTTTTCATTGATTTTCTGGTTCCTAGCCATAAAAAGTTGATTTTAGTAAAGTCCTTTGAAACGGAGACAAATTATTTTTATATTCACTAAGTATTCACACTTATTCTTCCATTTCTCTTTATTGATATTATAACTGGTACCTGATATATTATGCTACATGCTACATATGCAACATCAGTCTTGTGGATAGATAGACGCAATTATTTATAGTTAAATTCACCGCAAATCCGCTGGCTGTCAGAAATTTCCTAGAGCTTGACAACATTTCTCTCATTCGGTGGAAAATACCTCGAAGAGGCTGTTGGTTTCCCGTTTAAAGTGCAAACGTGTGCTCCTAAATAGGCGATAACGGAATAGTTGGTTTGCTTTCCTCACAATGGAGCTAATGAATTATGTATACATTTTAACAAACAAATAGTTCCTAGTCGTACTAACTATGACAGGTATATCTAACTGTTTCTTGTGTAAGAATTTTCTCGAGCTGTTTACATATCGTAACAGATGTTTCTTTTTTATTCTAATTGTCAAGTTAGGCATTGACCTGTCCTGTAAGACATAATTTTCTATGAAAGTGACCTACTATAGAGTTTAATTAGTAGTAACACAACTGTCCTAAGTTCATGGAGTAGTGGATTCAAGTACTTGCATTAAATGTAACTGAAACATAAAAAATATAAAATACTTGTTAAATCTTCTTATGTTTGTCTGCTAAAGAGGCCTTTTCTTTTATGTTTCAGTAAAAATAGCTTCTGTAGATGTATTTCAGAAAGTTTATTCTTAACTTATGGGTGTTCTTATTTCATAAACCAGTAGTTTTGTTTTATTTCTTCATATGTCAGAAAATCTCAAAGGAATTCATGTGAATTCAAATTTGATAATAACAGTACAGGAATACATCATATTATTTCATTATTATCGCTATATACAATACAGTTAATAACTGTCTTCTCGAGTTATACTAAAGAATTTTGATTAACATTTTCTGAAATAGAATTGACTAATACCGAGATATAGCCATGAAATTGGAATAACGCTTTTTGAAACTAAATTGTCGATTCCCTGAAATGCGTCTACACATTTCTGTTTTAGAATACGAGTATATTGTTAGAAAAATAAATTATAGTAAAATGTATCTTAAGATTAGCTCCAGCTTGTACTAAAAATCTGATTATTTGGTGTCAGTATCAGAAATATTTTTACTTTCCATTAAATTCGTCCTAATATTATTTCACATGTACAATAATCCAATAATCTAGATCTTCGTCGCGTGAGAAATTCCACAGGGATCAAAATCACCTCTTATCACAGTTGGAATTAATTCCTGCAAACAAACTTTTGCAGCAAAATTTCGGCGTTTCCAATATGCGAATTATACAACTAATTCAAAACGATTTGATGTGACTAATAAATTATACGATATTAAAATACATTTAAATTTGTATGTAAGTAGTTCAACGTGTACTGAATAATTCATGAAACATGTAAAATATTTTTATAGCCCACAGTTAGCTATAACTGTAGCTGCATTTTTTTTATCAGCAGACGTTTTAATCAAAGTCAAAGCCATTAACATCAAATGTGTTGTTTGGTGTGAAGGTATTTTAAGTTATGTTAATTTAAAATAACATGCGTAGGTGCGTTTTCTAGATCATTTTTAAACCAAAATTTGCTGGATTTGTTAAAAATATGTGAAAAGGTCTTTAAAAATGATACCAAAGGCAATTAGTCACTTTTCCAATTATTAATATTGTCTTGAGCGAATCTAAAACAAATTATATCTGCGCAAAACGACAGCTGTTTAATCGATGATACTATTAATTTAATTTCTAATTATCAACACTTTTTTTTAATCTTTCATAATAATTAGTTAATGCTTTTAATTGTAACTGTTGTTATTGGCCTAGATAGCAAATTACTGATTACCTTTAATTAACGGATGTTGTAGTACTTCTTTATAGAGAAGCAATGACTGTTATAAGTTTTATTTTAGATATCCTGAAAATAAATAAGTGATTTACTAAGATTATTTTAGCCAAAATTGTGTTATTTGTTTTTCCTTTAAATTTTAAGTCCATAGAATTCCTGCATTATCAACATTTAGAAATATTACTTATGAGGTTAGATATCTTTTACCTAGATTTTTGATACCAAAGAACATCATTTTCACGAACCTGTTGATGATTTCCAAATGAAATTATTTGGTAATTTTCACGTACTGAAATCTTGGTCTGTGGGAGTAGGTCACATATGGGATATAATTAACTTAAAATAACACTTCTCTGTTTCCAATCATCTCAGCACTGTCAGGTACTCCAGCAAAGAATATTACGACAGCTGTACACCAAGTAATTATCACTCCAACAGATGGTTCGGAATTAATTTCTCTCAATGGTTATTTCCATCCAGACCTAACGACTTCATACAAACTGATCAAGTCAACAGTACAAACCTTTAAAAAAATTATCCGTTCAAAACTTTCTATTCTAACATCTCTTGGTCTACACCCTGGAGCTACCTTCGCAGCTGTTTTACTTTCAGTTAGGCAGGCGTATCAAAATTTCTCGTGGGCGAGAACAAAATTTATAGACTCCTCTATTAATTGCTGCACCTCTCGTGACATGTACCTGTATGCAAATCAGCGAGGTAAGAAAATTGCAATAAATCAGCGAAGACCTGTACTGCTAGTCACTTCGCAGCTTATTATTAATAAATGTTAGTGGTAACTACATATCACTAGGCAGGAACAGTATTTTCCTTGTTAATATAGCCAATTAATGTAATAACATAAATTAATAGTAATTCATTAAATAAGTAATTATTACTAATCTGTTTCAAAATAGCCAAAGGCTCGAAATGAATCATATAAATGATAGATAACAGTTCGAGTTAATGAATTTTACCTAATAAATATTAATTTTTCCTTTCACTAGCAGTTCATGATTCGTGTAGAGAATAAGGCTATAAATACCTCATTGGACGAAAAAATACTTTGTCTGTTTCGAACTATAGTCACCAAAACGCCAAAGTTAATTTAAATTTGTCATATTATGTAGTAAGTACCATTGTAATGTCTCCCCAACATGAAAACTGCCTTTAATGTCACTTGTCAGATAATTATTCCCCACTTTGGCCAATTTCTTTTTTCTGGATAGCAATCATTGGTGATGAAATACTTTATAGTCGCTTTAATAGTTACAATATAACATTAATGTGGTGATAAGTGCT